CATGTGGATGAGGATCATCGTGGAGAGGTCCTAGAAACCGCGTTTAGCCATTAGGCCATATTTATGGCCTGGCTATATTGTGGCCCCTGGCAAAAGCCAGAGTAGGGCTTCAAATAACGAACAATTTCATTCTAAAAAGGACGCACAGTATGATTATTGGGATGATTTACTGGCTGCTAAGGATGAGGTCACAGCGCTTATGAGAATATCGGATTTCAACTCCAGTTGTAGTTCATTTTAATTCAAACAGCCGCGTCAATGTGGATTCAAACCTATGACAACCGGACGAGCAGGCAAGCGTATTGGCCATTGTCTTTTGGCTGGAATTGATCACTGTCTTCTATTTGCAATTACAGGGCGACAACCACATTATTACAATGACAACAACAGTGCTGTCATCATTATCTCCCTTAACCATAATCAAAATACATGATTATGTCCCTTTAAATAAAGTTTTCAAATGTTTACTATTCTGTACTACATTTTGTGAAGTAAAATTTCAGCATACATTTGACATTATGGATGTTTTCTTTTTAGATCTATTTTATACACGAAAGTGGAAGAATAGGCCTCAGTTTGAATAGTGGGAAGACAGAAGTAATGGTAGTATCAAAGAAAATAATTATTTCTAAATGTGTTATAGAAGTCAATGGTTTTATTTTGGGGCAAGTACAGAAATTTACGTATCTGGGCACATGGATAACATCAGATGGAAGATGCATTACTTAAATAAGAAACAGAATAGGACAGGCAAAAACTGCATTTAAAAAAAATGAAGAACGTCTTATGCAATATATCTTTGTCATTGAAGGTTAGAAAAAGAATTCTTGCTTGCTACATACATCTAGTTGTAACATACGGCTGTAAGTCATGGACAATCGGTAGGCAGGCCAAACAATTTCTTGAGGCCTCAGAGATGTGGTTTTACAGAACAATGCTTAAAATACCTTGTACAGCCGGAAAAGAGAAAAGCAACCAAGAAGTTTTGATAGAGGCGGGAGCCCGAAGACAACTTATCACAGACATCAGAAGGAGACAGTTATCATTTTTTGGCCATGTTATAAGATGAGGGAAAATAGAACATGGAACATGTGGTGACCACTGGAAAGATCTGTGGACGGAGGGATAGAGGAAGACAAGGAGAGAAGATTCTTGACAGTCTTGTTGAATGGCATGGAGGTGTGTCGGCACACGAACTGATCTGCTGCAGGAGATTGCAGATTGTAAAGAGGTATAATCGTCCATGCCATTCGGCAAAGCACCTGATGAGGACGATTCACTGTTCGTATTCATATTCGGCCGAATAGTTGGTAATCACTTTTCGGTACAGCCCTCCTTGGTAACGGTATTGGTTCCCCAATATCAAGAGAAATAATCAATGTAACTATTTAGAAGAATCGCAGCATCCTATGGTTTGGAAGTAATCGCTATGACAGTGATACAGACAAGTATTCTTAAATTCATTACAGTTTGAAAGAAATAGAAACAAAAATGTTTTTAAAAAGCGAAAGAAAAACACCAGCATAAGAAAAGGGAAATAAAATTATAGGAAAAAAAAGTGGGCCAAAAAAAAAAGAGAAACAATAACAGAAGAATGACAAGAAAAGTTGAAAGAAACCAAGAGAAGATATAAGAGAAGGAAAAATAATGACAGTTCGAAGAAAAAACAAATATATATATATATATATATATATATATATATATATATATATATATATATATATATATATATATATATATAATTAGAAAATAATAATAAAATAAAACGGCAGTGAAACAATAACAAATAAAAAACATTAACCGATCAAATACAATGCTATACTAAAAACACAAACATATCTGTTTTTAAAAACAATAACACACGAAAAACTGGGACAAAATAAAGATACTAACCGAATTCAAATAGTGACATAAAAAAAAGATTAAAATCAAAGAGAGATGTAAGAAAGCAAGAGACGTGGTGAAATTGACTAATGAAACAAAAGGAAAAAAGACGACTAACTGTTTGTTATAAAGTCCGAGAGAATTTGTGGGAGAGGCGAGAAAGCAACATTCTGCATACAGATAAACCACATCATGTTAAACGTATGCGAACTCAAAACTTCCAGAAGACAAGAAGTGGAGTACAACAGAACTTCGCACTGCTGGTGAACGAAGAAGAAGACAATCAACAAAACAAAACAAGGCAGCATCACTGAAGTAAAGCAACAATTATGTGAACACAAACATAGAAGTAACATCAGCCAGTCTTACCGCTCTGTAGGTTCTCTTCTGTCCCGCATGTTTGCCTCCCCTTCCATCCATTTCCACGTGGACTTTGTAGATAATGTCGAAAAAGTTCTCCACCACAGCCACACGCTTCAAAGAAGAACGTGATTGGCCAAATTCCTCGTTCTGAAAGAAAATACATTTCTGTCATTGAAACAAATAAACCAGGGAAGGATAGCTGAAATAGACATGGCTCCACAAAACTGGGTAGTCTGTGATTTGATCACAGACGTGGGCGCTAGGCTGGGACCTGGGGACTCAGGTCATTTAAGCCCCCCACCCCCCTCTCCACTCCCCCCATAAATCAACTCGAAATCTTTCATGATTAGGCTTTGAATAGATCAAGCGGTTTTTACACATCAATTCAATCTAATGATTGCAATAGACTACATTATTCCAACTAGAAAAATCAGTGATACCACCATTCTTTAATTCCGGGTATATTGTTTTGTCTGTGTTCGTCTTATCTTAAAAAAGCAGTTAGCCTGGAGACGCCAGTCGTTGAGGTCGGAGAGGCTATCGGGATCATCGCAAATAATGCGGAAAGCTATTCACATAGGGGGCAGAACCTCAGGTCCCTCTAACCTTTGGGTGAGGCACTCAAGGACCTGAGCCGCCCCCTTCCGCCTTCACTATCACCACTACCACCCAATTAAAAGTCTACGGTTTCGATGCCCAAGCTACTAAGTTAAGTGCCTAGCATTGCACTATGAGCTGTGTTTTTCACGTGAAATGCCTTTTATTTGTGCAGCGATTGTGCGTGGTATTCAGTAATGGTGGGCAGCCGGTTTACATGTGGGATAGCGAAATATGTCATATAATAATTGTACGTGTGTATGTTTACAAGTACTCTAGTACCGGAGAGTTTTGAGAAATATCATCATGGCCTCAAAACTCAGTGAAGGGAACATCTCAGCTGCATCTCAGCATGGTAAAGGATGGGCAACACACCACGGTGAGGCAAACGCAGCTCTGTGGACCGAGTATCCACCGGAATAACAGGACAGCTCTGCAGCTGAATAGAGTATGGCACTTACTTGTACAGACAGCCGAAAATTACTGACAAAGGTAGAAATAAAAGGCCCCATGTGGATTTGGAAGGAAACGGGAAACCACCACATAATCTTCCCAAGTTTTCATGCAAATAAGTTCTTTGGTAATGTGATGAGAAAAGCAGCACTGGCTGGCTACATCCAGAACACTAACGAATCATTAAACAGCACAAGTTGGCAACATGGCCCCAAAACAGGTACTATGAATTTATAGCTGTCAGGATTGCTGTTGGCATTGTAATCCTCATTATTAATAATAGAGCAAAAGATCTTAAAGCTCCACTTGTGCCGATGCAACTATTATGCGGACGTTCCACATTAGAATTTTTGTTCTCTACTGACACGTTACGACTGAGAAACTCTCAGAAGAAAGCAACAGAAGCATGATTGGAAGCTAGAAGTGAAAAAAGGAGGCACAAGCCCTGAAGGTCTGAAGGCTTTTTCTTATTTAATGGGGAGTTATTGAGGTAAAAAACTAGAACATTTTGACCAAAAATTGACGTCATTTGTTGTCAAATTTAATACTTCTGTTTACTAATCCTATTATAATTTTCTCAAATATTAACAAGTCTGCATAAAATGCTGCATGCTCGCTCACATTAGAAATGGCTATAGCGAATTCTATGGGAATTCCCATATCATGGTTGTGTTTATGTAATTTCAAAGTTGAAAATTTCCAATCAAAACAAAGGCAAATTTCAAGTAGATTTACATGCCGCATCGAGATACCAGCTAAGTGATTTTGTGTATCTATGTAGTATCGTTTAATTTGTATGTGCTGAAGAAGGCTCAATAGCCGCAACGTTCACGTTTTGTTTGCATTTGTTATATTGTGAAGCTTGCTAATATACTTTTCGTTCGGGTTTATATCTTTTCTTGACATAAAATCTATGAAGTATATACTATTTTCGCTCACATAAGAAATGGCTACAGCGAATTCTATGGGAATTCTCATATCATGGTTGTGTATGAAGTGTATGCTATTTTCCTCAGAACTCATACTATGTCTGTATGTGCAGTTTAATTCTGAAGACAGTGGCGTAGAGGAATATTGTTAGTGGAATTGATCCAGAGCACCAAAGACCGACGCCCGTGTGTCACCGGGGCCCTCACGGGAAGCAAAGAATAGTGACACTGCACCCTACCAGGCATGTCGTAAAAGGCGACTAAGGGTAGGGTTGGGCGTGAGGTTGGCTACCTCATCCTGTAAAAACCATAGCCACAAAAACCAACCAACCATGGATAAGTCAAAAAGAGAAGCAAATAAACTCCAGCCAACCAAGATGAGGGAAGGCTCTTCAAATAGAAGAAGTATGACACGGTGTGGAGAAAGCCGTAAGGAGTCCGGATCGTTGACTTACCTCCTCTCAGCTAGGAAAACCTCCAGAATTGGCACCTGGAATAGAAAGATTGGGAGGACATGGGGAGAGCTCCATGTAATGGCGAAGGATAGAACGACTTGGCGTGAGTTGGTTGAGGGCCTATGCTCCATTGGGGGATAAAAAGGCAGAAGAAGACCAAAGACCGAGATCTGTGATGATGCATGAACGCCTAGGCCAGCTGGCAAGGCACTTGATGATGATGATGATGATGTTTACAAAGGGTAATAGCAAAGAGGAAGAGTACTGACGTAATTATTACATCAAAGAATAACATTTTCAATATTGTATTGTCACGTGATTAAATGTGCACAATTAAACATGTCGCCATATTTCTGACTCACAGTTTACAACAACAACAACAAAAATCTTTTTTTTTTTTTTTTTCAACCACTGCTTTTTGTTCCCCCACTCGTACTTTCTCCAAGGGTTCAATCCCGCCCCTGCCCCTGGCAGTGAAGCCATCTTCTTGGCAGGTGTATCATTACACATATTTGTGAGGAACCCACATTACACACATCTATTTATTATTACTTGATGATATCCGTCCGCTTCAGCAATGTTTTCGATTTTCTTGACGAAAAGGTGCTTTCGGCCTTAGCTGGCTGAACTGACTTGGATTTCCTCTTTTTTTTCCCTGTGTTCACCGGTTGTAAATCCCGGTTGGGGGGGGGGGGGGGGGGGGGGGGTATTTCTCATTCTTTATCTACTTCCGGACTGTAGTTTTGTTCTAGAACCAGCGTTTTGATGCACATCCGTTTTACATTTATGGCTTATCTGTACGCACTCCGACTGTTGTACTCTGATTTGGAAGGAAACATTCATAGTCGGCTCTTACGACATGTTTGTTAGTTGTAGTGAGTCTATTCCTCCCCTCCTCCGTTGTGGCGCATCATGTGGGTTGTTGTTGTTTTTTTTTTTTTTTTTTCATGTTTTTTTTTAAAAGCCCAGCCTGTAGTCGGGGGGCCTTAAAATAACCAAAAGGTTGAACGAGGTTTCTGAGACTCTGTGAATGATGTGGCCAACATCACAGTCCCCGCTTTTACTTCTCAGGTAATTAGCTGGTATCAGTTTAGGCTCGGTAGACGCGGGAGCTAAGGTCATGTTTTAACAAAAGTGCGGATTTGTACCCACCACCTTGGGATCCGCAGGCGAGCCTCCAGTCACTACACCACGGCAGCTCACAGAAACAAAGACATCTACTAATCTTCTTCTTCGCGTTCACACAGCTGTACATTGTGGCCAGAATATTCTGGTTGTTCGTCCACTTCTGGACTGCAGTTCTGTTCCAAAACTTAAGTGTTGCGTGTGCTTTTGTTTGACAGATCTGACTTATTTGTATGCAGACTTTTAGTTCCTTGCCTCTCGGGCAGAAGCACTTGGACTTTGACGAAAGTTCCTAATTAGTCGACTCTTACGACATGCTTTTGGGTGGGCAGTGGGTCTATTTTTGTTTTCCCTATAACAGGGACCCTGAACATACACGGGGATCCCTACAAATCATGTGTGTACAGTGTCCGCAATAACGGTTGGCTACAGTCTACCAGGTGTTGTCTTTGTGAAAATATCTGGCGAATAACAGAGCATCTTTATAAAGGTCCCAGCTAGTTAGATTCCTGTTGAATATTTTTCCCCCACTTTGCATGCCGGTGTGTTGAAAAAACGATTATGCATATAGACTGGATATTTTTGTACTACTTGATGATAAACTGATGCATGACAGGCTAGATGATGTCAAGGTCAAGGTGGAGGCTCAAAAAGAACATCAAGGTCAGAAAAGAATAGCGTAGCGAGGAGTGATCAAATGATTTGGTCAAAGCTCAACACTCGCGGAGGGCGAGACGGATATACAATCAGACTCGGAAATGGAACTTTGCGCTTGTAGCTAAAGATGAGAACTGAGCTCTTATGGGAGTGACACAAGTGTTATAATGTAGGTTTTTAACTTATATATGGCCAGGCCACAATCTCTTCCACAGTTAGATTCTTGTACCACTGTCGAACCCAGGCTTTGAGTATTATACAAATCGAAATAACGTTTCCCTGCTGTGAATTTGAACAAAGAAGACACAAACAAAAAATTGCACAATTTATTGCCTGGCATATTTTGTTGTATCTCGTCAGGTGCATACTACAGCAACCACTGGTTAAAAAAATGAAAAAAAAAAAAGGAATCTTTCGAACAGAAACACAAGATCGACTACATTGAAAAACTGTTTCACCAGTGTAAACGCAAGGTTAAGACCATGTCCTTTATTTGCTTCATTTTAATCTATTGTTACTGCAGTATGCACCTGACGAGATACAGAAAAATGTGCCAGGCAATAAATTGTGCAATCTATTATTTATATCATGAAATTGTTGAAAGCATTCACTAACCTCTGAGCCACAGAGCCGAACCATGCCCAGCAACTAGCTTCATTTAACTAAAAACTGAACTGGGAATGCGATGAACCTGAAACGAAACAACTATTTCTACTGGAGACAGTACCGGGTAAATGTGAGTGTGAGCGGGGCGACAGAAGAAAGAAGTTCCATTAGGGGTGTCCAGAAAATATCTGACTTGTTCTGATGTAGCGCTCATGTGGAAACAAATCTGGCTCGCTTTGAGTTGGATCCGTGCAAACAAATATGTTTATTTGTGAGATAAAGCACCAGTAAGAGTAGTGCGTGAAAAGGAGTAGACGGA